TCTCGCCTTCTCGTTATAGCACACGATTTGTCCCTCGCAGTATTCGTCCCTATGCAGTCTTCACATATTCACGAAAAGATACAATAGTAATCATTCTCAACTCTGTGTGTGCCATAGAATGTTCCATCAATCCCATATCAATTGCTTCGTAATTTGAATATCACATTTATGTATTATAAATTATAATTTCTTCCTTATTAACTTACCCTTCTAGAAGAGAGAAGATATATTTTCAATATTCTCAATACATGTTCCCTCTATCCGCTTTTAAGTGTCTATTCCTTTTACGCAATTAATTGTTGATCAATTTCCATTTTGATGTACTTATGTATGTTTGCCTCTTTTCTGTATCTGGCTTTCGCCAAATTTGCCGGTTTTCGGGTTAAAGAATGCAGAAACAGCTAACACTGACGTATATGTTTACCTTGCTCAGTATAACATTGTCAATTTCAGCCCTGTCTTTCAATGTTTCGATATTTGATGTTAATTGTACTTGATTCTTTCGTGATAATTCTTAAATTTTCTTAATTTTTAGATATAAAATTAAATAAAAAATTTGTAGTTTTTTAGTGTTAAAAATACGTAACTTTTAGTAAAGAATTGTTAGTGAAATATATTTCTTCCGCTGATCACGAAAGGGTTAAATGCGATGTTCGGCCGATAAGGTGTAAAGCATGATGTTCAGTCGATGAAGTACAAAAGATTTCAAAATATTTTATAGTTGTATTTCATTGCGATAGATTATTCCGAAACCTTTTGTAGCTCCACCGACTGTAACAAGATCACTTTAATTGTTACTTATTTATTGAGATATCGAAAAAAAAATCTTTGATTGCCTCAGCGATTTTTGTAATCCGAGTAGCCCGAGGTGAAATGTTGATCGAGAGAAAACCATGTTTTAAAGTTACTTGAAGATTTTCTGTAAAAAATAGATTTAGTATAGCTTTCAAGTTATAAAATTCAATATATTGTAGTTTAAATAGTATAGTTTTCAAATTATAAAATTCAATATATCTTTGTTAAAATTTTTAAGACTTGTTCCTTTTTAAGATTCCTTCGAAATAGTGAATAGTAAGTAGAGAGAGATATAGCGTAGTCTCAGACTAGTGAAAAATGGCGTGTTTCTCTTGTTCTATTCTTTTTCCTCGGGTTACGAGCGATACTGAACTTTTGATAAAGCCGATGTTGTCTTGCGTAAATGTGATCGGCGAATTTCCAATCTGCGATATTTTTACATCAAATCTTCGCTTCACGTCGAACAAGATTTTTCTTTGTGACGGGAAATGAATATTATCGAATAACGATAAATAAATTCGAATTTCTCACACTCGGACGATCACATTTATCGCGTCCTGTTTGGCGCAGCGAGAATACAGTGCCAGTGCCTCTATGTCGCATATAACGTTCTTTTCTCGTTAATTAATGTACCTTCCACTATGTAAGCGGTGCATATGTGTGTGCGCGAGACATTGCTTTCTTTCATATCGATTCTGATCGAATTTGCAGACAAACGACGCTCTTGGCAGCGCGTACAATTGGATTTACTTTATACCGTTGATCGTCCTCGGATCATTCTTCATGCTGAACTTAGTTCTTGGTGTCTTGAGCGGGTGAGTATGTCCCTTCTAACAGTCCTTTCTACTACCTTTCTGTCCAGAGGCGATTTCTGAAACAGCGATCGCAACTTGAATTCGAAAAGATCGCGAAGTCCATTACTTCAGAATGATTTTCTTTCCTCGTCAGGGAGTTTTCTAATGAAAGAACGCGCGTCGAACGGCGGGCGGCTTATCGGAAAGCGAAGAGTAAACGTCTCTTCACCACTGCATTCAGTTCCTACTTAAAATGGATCACTCAAGCAGGTCTTCAATTAGCAGACCATTGTCTAATATTAGTGTCCAATAAACAGTATTCTTTTAGCGTATGTAGCACTATTGCCATGAAATATGAAATAAATATTAATTTATTAATAACAAAAAAAGATACATAAATTAATAATTTTTAATTAATATTAATTATATCATTAAATTTTTTAATGCTTTATTTGCTTCATATCATTTTAAATATTTTTTCCTTCTTTTATTATAAAATTTTTTATTTGTTTTACTTTACTTTATATGTCTTATAGTTTATAAATTTCGGTTATTCGGAATTACATAGTGCTGGATACGCGACGAGAACACGATGCAAATTATATATTCTGTATAGAAATGTGAATTTTTAGACGTTGGCTCGTTTAATTAACTAACGCTAGATATTTTAATTGAAAGAAGTAATGCGTATAATAAGAAGTAGTTAACAATAACAAATTGATTTTGCGTATAGTATATGGCCCTCATGAAGTAAGCTAGTCTGAAGAAATCTATGAAAGTATTTCGCAAGGAAAAAAAAATTATTTCTTTTTCAATACTCCCAACGGCGTTTTAATCTTTAAATGGTTGGCTTGTTAAACAAGACAATATTGCCAGAATATTTAATGGCGGAACACGCCAGAAAAGTCTCCGCTAAACTTAGCCTTTATGCTCCTGAGTAAGCTGCCATGTCATCCGTATCACGCTTGTAGAGAGTTTGCAAAGGAGAGAGAGAAGGTGGAGAACCGACAGTCCTTCCTGAAGTTGCGAAGACAGCAGCAGCTTGAGCGCGAACTGAATTGTTACCTCAATTGGATCTGCAAAGCAGGTTAGATCGATCGTCGTAGAAGAAATATGTGAATTAAAAAGGATTGAATTAATTTCTCTTATGAAAATTGAAGAAATGTTAATTTTTAATTTTTGCGTGCGCAAAGAACGCAATATGTAAAATAACGCTTTAAGAATACAAATGAAAACTGAGAAAGAAGAAGAAAGAAATAACTGTGCGATATTCTATATACATATTCTATATTTTAGACTATTTAATCTCGAAAATTAAATATATTAAATCTCTCAAATCTCTCAATATTTATACTCTTTTATTTGATCTATTTTAATCCACCTATTTTGTAAAGAGTATGCTTGCAAAAATTATAGCTTGCTGCATACGTTGAACTCTTTACGAGTCACTTTCTTTTGTATATAAAAATATACAAATACACGTAATATCGATTATTGCTCTAATACATAATGTTTATTTTTCAGAGGAGGTGATACTCGCCGAAGAGAGGACCACCGAAGAGGAGAAAATGCACATATTAGAAGGTCTGTATAACGTATATCAACGTCATGAATATTCACTTTCATAAAGTTGAAAAGATTTGCGAAGCGAGTATCTGTATCTCCGAAACGTGCTCGTACATATTTATAGAGAATGCTCGGAGCACTCAGTGTATTTTTACTCGTATTTCTTTCAACATAGTCAAATGGATTTCAATTTTTTTTGTTTGTTAGAAACGCAATGTACACTATATTTCTTAGATAAAAAAATAATTTTGATTAGTTACTTGAAAATGTATTTATAAGTCTATTGGTTTCATTTTTACATAATAAGTCACTCTTTCTTTTTGGTGATACATATGCTATCTATAAATGCAATTTAAATAGTGACATTTTGTGGAATTTTCTATGAAATTGTTTACAGCAAACTTGCTGTGACTTATAATGTGTATTTATTACGATTTTATTTAAAATGAAAAAATTTATGTAAGTAATTTACTAATATAATTCATTATTCATACATTATCGGATCGTAAAGTAACAAATATGACAATATATAAATGTCACATTTGGTAAACATATCACATATGATTTTTTCCTAATATTCTGTCAGCATTTTTTAATCAAGTGTGGAAAGTTTGCATATTTTTAATAAAAAATTACATTGTTATTTATAAAGAAGATTCATATGTAATTTATCTCTTCGTTTTGCGCAGTAAGAAGAAGAGCAGCTGCGAAAAAGAAAAAGCTAAAAAATCTCGGCAAGAGCAAGAGCACCGACACGGAGGAGGAGGAGGGCGAGGACGACCAGGACGATGGTGAGTTGTATTTGGCCAACTTAGTATCCAGTTGTGCCGAGTATTCTCTTCTTCTTGTCCACTTCTTTTACATTTCAAGTTGATGATTCTTCTTCAGAATATTTGAACAAACTTGTTATGAAATCGAGACCAAGTTTACGTAGTAAGGATTTTCACGATTTCTTAGTAGTCAGAACCTATGTTATATCAGCCAACGATTTCCTAAAATTGTGAAACAATTGAAAAATAAATTTAATGAAATTTAGAGAAAATTAAATTAAAAATTTAAATTATCGGATTAGATTAACATCATACTTTCTCAAACTATAATATTCTCTAAAAATTAAATTTTGTACCTGGAGAATATAAAAGTTTTGTGATATATTTTATAAAAAATAAAATGAAAGAAGTGTTACGAAGGAAATCGTTGATGCGAGATTTTGACCCACCTTTTCTCTCATTCTAAAATTTCTCTCCATTTATTGGCACGTTAGCGTATTTTCACGTTTATCGACGTATTTGTTAATATTTTATGCCTGATTTATCTTTCGTACTACCGAGAGGAAATGAAAAGAACGTCGCTGATAATTACCTTCTAATTTTTGCCGATGAATATTCTAAACACACGCTATCAGATGCTCCTCTTGTTTCAGTGCCTAAGAAAAAGCTCAAAGGTAACTACAACCGTGAATGCCACGACTTTTCGTAAAGAGCTACGTAAAATAAGGCTGTATTCGTAATCTTACGTAATTGTTTTATTTTTGTATCTTTATTTGAGAGATTTTGTGTTGGTAATACACACACGTACAAGTAATATCGTGCGTATCACAAGTACATAATTAGACGCGGATTATTGCTTTGGATTACTTGATCACGCCTATTCGCGTATGCAGGATGTGTCAATTGTCGTGTGCGCTGTCACATTCGAAACATGTAAGAATTAATCATTTTACATTGAAACGAGGTTCAACAAGCAACAAATAAATAATTTTATTAAAAAATTTTTTGAACATATTTATCATTTTTATAATATTTGAGTATTCGGAGAGAACAATTTTGCTGGCAAATTTGGCTAGATACAAATCTGAAAATAATTTTTTTGGATTATTAAAATTATTATCATTTGTAAAGATGCTTAAAACATAATAATAATAATAATACTGCAAAAATTTTTTATCTTCTGAATTTGAACATAATAATTTTGAAGGCTCAACAAAATTATTTTTAAATCTATATCTGGCTAAATTTTTCGATTTGTCAGCAAAATTTCTTTTTATTCTACTTAATGATTATCTTAATTATCTCTACCTAATGATTATTTATACTTTTAAAGAACAATTATATTGTAATTAAAAATTAATTAAATATCTGTATATTTTTTATACGAAAATGTTACTAATTGATTTAAAGTGAAGTAACAGTCATTTGTAACAATTATGTAATTTTAATATACATAAAATTGCAGACATATATAGAATCATGGATTGTTCGCGTATAAATTGGCATACTTTACACACTCAAACGAAGTATGATCGTCGTATAGCTAGATTACATATTATTTATTATAAGATCGCAGGCTGTCATTACTCGTGGTAGAGGATGTAATTATTGCATTCTATGTAATTACTCACCGATTTGCTGCTGATTTTGTGGCTGATATGTATCATTCGAGATCCTCACTCGGTCCTTATGCGAGAGACAGATCGGAGAATTTGAGAGCTAATTCGGTTTTATTTTCTAGGTATTGCTTCTATTGGCTGGTGTGACGATACATGAATATTAGATTTTCTTTGGGGCCGGAAACATTCGTACAAACATTATTAAAAATTTTTTTAAAGCAATCGAATTAAAACCTAGGCAATATAATAACATTATAATAAGTAAATATAATGTAACTCTTTAAGATAAGAAATCATTCTTTTATTTTAAATTTATAAAATTTTAATATTTGGAAAAAAGTTTTTTAATAATAATAATAATTACAGCTTATATATGAATAAATTTTAATAGATGATTGACAATGTGGTAACTAAGTGCCAATGTTTCTGGCGGAAATATTTCTATATTATTTAGGTGTACCGTGTGATGATGGAATACTGATTAATGTTTTTATTATTGACTTATACGGTTATAATTTTGGCTAGTTAAAATAAACCAACAAATAGTAGAATACTTAATCGTCAAACGAAGAATTGAAATCCCTGAGTAGTGTACGAATCCCATCCTATAGAGTTTGATATATAGGCTGATATTTAGCCTGTCAACACAGTAACTAAGTAGCCATAATACGCATCGCCATATAATAGTCGTGTACGCTTGGTAGAGTAACTTAGTATAGAAACTTTATGTGTCTATTTATATCTATCTTTTGTTGAAGAGATAAAGTTTAATTTTTCCAGTCGAATGAAATAATTCTAGAGGTATTTAGTTTCTTCTGATTACAAAATGTCTTCTTCTTAAAAAACTTTCAAAAAAATATTACTAGGAATATTAAAAAATTTCAAAAAGAAAGAACTTTAAGTTAATACAGATCATTATATATATATATATATATATATATATATATATATATATATATATATATATATATATGTTTACATATATATATTTTGGATTATACAATTTGAATTCTTGAACTCAAATTTTGCAGAATTAGCTTAGCAAGTAATACAAAATGTGAAGATGTAGATAAACGATGTAGATAAAAGATTCTGTTAAATAAAAATTATATAAATTATGTCAATATAAAAGTGTGTCTGATACAATCAATTAATTAATACAATTAATTAACAATCGACTGGTGTGTAAAACATGTCTTAAGCATGTCTCTGATTGTTATACTAAAGAAATATTTTATACTTTATAGGGTTCTCGAGAGCCTCCTATTTCAAGTCAAAAGTAAAGAAGCAGGGCACGTGCCTGCAATTCTGGAGAGCTGAAAAAAGATTCAGGTTTTGGATACGTAATTCTGTCAAGTCGCAGCAGTTCTACTGGTTCGTCATCGTTCTTGTGTTCTTCAACACCGTCTGTGTGGCAGTCGAACATTATAAGCAGCCACAATGGCTCACCGATTTCCTCTGTGAGTTTCACTTAGAATTTCAATTTAATTGCTACACTATTTAATGGATAACGTATTTAAAAACTTAATTTATCAAACTGGTTTATTAAAGAATATTTTAATAGCTAGTGTCTATTGAAATCTGCAATTTTGATATAACTTCAGGAAAAATAGTTTAGTTACCTATATCAAAATTCTATTTTAAAATGAATAAATCCGATTGAAGCCATCAGAATTCAGTTTAAAGTAGACAAGACTTCTCATGAATTCAACAACTTCTGATTGATTTAAACAGAAATTTAGTAATTCGTTAGATCAAAATTTCTGATTTGTCCATTTTAACCAGAATTTTTTTTCTGTATTTTTATCGGAAAACTTATTTCCTTTAAATTAATCTCTCTTATTATTTGTAGACTACGCAGAGTATGTGTTCCTGGGCCTCTTCATGATGGAGATGTTCATAAAAGTTTACGCGCTCGGTCCTCGCACATACTTCGAATCGAGCTTCAATCGCTTCGACTGCCTCGTTATCTCGGGCTCGATCTTCGAGGTGATATGGTCCGAGTTGAAGACCGGCTCTTTCGGCCTCTCCGTCCTACGTGCTCTTAGACTCCTGAGAATTTTTAAGGTCACCAAATACTGGAAGAGTCTGAGGAATCTCGTGATATCGCTGCTAAGCTCGATGCGCAGCATCATTTCTCTCCTCTTCCTGCTCTTCCTTTTCATCCTCATATTCGCGCTGCTTGGTATGCAGTTATTCGGCGGTCAGTTCAACTTCAAGGACGGCACGCCGCCCACTAATTTCAACACCTTTCCCATCGCACTAC